ACAATTAAAAAAATGCCGTTCCCGGTATTACATCTCTGTCTGATTTCGTTGATATTCTTAAAGTAATGTATTTTGAAATGAATGGATTTGAAACCCAGCGTTTAAGTTTTTTGTTTTGTATATATATAATACAAAACCGTGATTTCACGTGACACGTCTTCCAAAAGAAGCCAAGCGTGTTCTTCTTGAGAAGTCTGGTTTGCCAAAGACAAACGCTCCCGAAAATAATGTTCTCGTTATACCTATATTCCTAGTCGTTTTTAAGACTGCGACGTTCAAATTAGGTTACAGTCTGCTGAGTTTGACACACTCTCGTGGTTAAGTATCATGAACAGTGTCTTTATTCCATTGCCTTCACCAATTTATTACTGTAATTGACTGTGCATGATGTTAATCTATACTCTATTATTGAACTTTTAATCAATTGGCTTAATTTGCATCCTGTCGATATGGTGTATGATCTAGGGTCACTAAGTACGGATGTCAGGGTTATGTCCTTCATATTGGTTTATATAGACATTCGCATGCGTAGGAGATAAACGTGTGGTTTTAGAGATTTGACACTTTATAAGAAATAAAAGCACCATGTGAACATTACATTTTACATCTCAAACAATCAATGATTACATGTGTTTCATATTCTTACAGTTTTTACAAGAAACAAAATTGAAAAATAACAAATAACACACACATATATATAACATTATCAAAAGAAAACTTTTTATGAAAGGTTTTCATACTTAGATCTAAGCTGTGAATATCCATAGAAAGCAAACTCAGTAACTTTCTACATTTAAATATTAAATTATTTCTTTATCACCAACATTTTAACAAAAGGACAGGAAAACACAATGAAAACCTGTTTAATACATTCCTCGCTATTAGTATCGAGATTAGTACTGAAAACATATTCATTGGTGTCTGAGTGTTCTATACAAATATTAAACTGGTGGAAGTGAATGAATGTCAGATATTAAAGATTATTTGTGTTGTTGTTATTGTTGTTGGTTTCTTAGGTATGTATATGTGTGTTGTCACGAAGGATGCTGGGAATTTCAATGACTGATCAAACTGAGAATGATAGATGATATAAAAGTCGAGCTGAAAAAAAAAATTCAAATTAAGAATTCATACAGTCATTACTGTTTAGAATAGCCTTCAGACTTTTTTATGTGTCACAATGGCGTCATTTAAAACGCATCTCTCAAATACAGGTATGGGAGATAACTCTTTTGATCTTATCTTTATATCAATACGAATCTACACGATTCTTTAATCGGTAGTATTGTTACTGGGCTACATTAACCAATTAAAACGCTACAGAGGTATCGATTTATACAAAGTGCAACTACATAAATCAGCGTTTGAATAAACACATAAAAACTATATAAATATATATATATATATAATACAACGTCTTTCTTCTTTTGTCAAAAATCATTTTTATTTATAATTTACTCGCATCTCGTCAAATCAAGTTTTTTCTATATATATATATATATATTTGTGTGAATTGCCAAACAATATATTCGTTTATCTGACAATTCTGGCTTATGATAAATTCACCCTCTTTTGTCTATTTATTTATTTATTTATTTTTTTACGAGAGGTTAAGATTTCCTTAACTCGTGAACAGGAAATTTGAGTGTATTTTCTCTCGCTATTTCCTGTGTGCTCTACCTGTCGACACCTTTTCTTCCATATTGGTTCACATTAAAAAATAATGGCATGTGTTTTCTTTGTTTTTATTTTTCTTTATAATTCTATTTTAGTACTCCAAACATTAGTTTTTGGCGTCTTACCGTCTTTAGCCGCCCCACCCCCACCCCCAACCCCCTTCTCTCGCCACCTCTGGGTCACAGATTCGAGGCCTCAGTGGGACCGTCGCCAAGTACTGGCCACAGGTATTTCTTGAGGACGCCGGCTTTCCTCTTCCACCCAAATCTGGGATGTCCTTGAACGATCCTTGCTGTTGATATGACGTAAAGCAAAAGAAACGAAACGAAACCGAGTATACGTTTATCCCAGGCTGTTTTGGTACTTTGTTATGTTTTTTAACGCATCGTGTCGGTTTTGTTTACAACCCAAACATAATTAGTTCTGTAATATTTGCTTATAGCTCAGTCAGAGCATGTTTTCATCGTGTTTACTTCACAAATCGGTATCTTGTAAAGTCCAGAACATGCAGTTATACGTTGCCAAGTTCGTATTGTCAATGAAAGATATTTCTATTTCATCACGCTCAAGATAAAGTTTAATTTCTTATTTCATACGTCGATTTTTTTCAACATTATCTCTGCGTTGAAAGAGGAAAGCAAACGAAATTGGTAATGAACAGCGACGTAACATGAGACAGTGACAAGGATGAGAGAGACAAGACAGGTACACGAGGACACAATGGTGTAAGACACAAGACAGGTACACGAGGGTACAAGGATATAAGACACAAGACAGGTACACGAGTACACAATGGTGTAGGACACAATACAGGTACACGAGGGTACAGTGATGTAAGACATATGACAGGTAACCGAGGTTACAATGATGTAAGACACAAGACAAGTACAGGAGGGTACAATGATTTAAGACACAAGATAGGTAAACGAAGGAACAATTGTGTAAGACACAAGCCAGGGACAAGACGGTACAGTGATGTTAGACATAAGACAGGTAACGGAGGGTACAATGATGTAAGACACAAGAAAAGTACTGGAGGGTACAATGATTTAAGACGGATGAACGAGAAAAGAAAGATATGAGACGTAAGAATGACACACGAAGATATACTTATAAAAATATATATAATAATAAGACAGATATAGGCGAAAAGAAATATATGAAACGTAAGACAGATACAAGATGGTACACTGAGATAAGACACAAGACATGTGCATGGAGAATACAAAGATATAAGACACAATATATATAAACGAGGGTACAATGATATGAGACATAAGACAGATACATGAGGATAAAAAAAGACTAAATATACGGTAAACGATGGTACAATAATGCAAGACACATGGCAGGTAAACGTAGAATACAAAGATATAAAACTCTGAGACATATACACGAGGATACAAAGATACAAGACACAAGACAGATACACAACAAATATCTAGGACATATCACAGACACACGAGAGCGGTGTAAAGACACAAGACAGAAGAAAGATACACAACAAATATCTAGGACATAACACAGATATACGAGAGCGGTGTAATGATACAAGACACAAGACATGTACACTGAAACACAAAATAAAAAAATGAACGTCATTCGATCACTGGAAAAGACTTTTAGTGTGAATTACAAAAGTCAAATATGATGAAGCGGATTTACCTGTTTTTCAGGTATCGACAATAAAACACATACCTTTTGATCGACGAGAAAATAACAAGCTGGGAACACAATACAAACGTCAAATAACTTTGTTATATATACATATTTTTTGACTGGAAAACACGATGAGCTGTAAAACATAAGTGCTTTCATTTCTTCTCCAGATGGTTTACATAATGTACATAGATACATAGTCTTTTAAAAAAGATATATTTTGCTGGGCACGGAGAATTCATCACATTTTCACTATATATGTATATATATATATATTGTTATATATATTTGCATTTTGTTGTTTAATTTGTCATGACGTTGTCAATTTAGATTGACATTTCCTGGCATATAAGTCGTGGCGGTTAATGTTGAAAAAATTATGTGTGAAGGCCACAAATATAACATACAAAGATACGTTGTTGTATCAAATCTGTATTTGTTTATTCTCATCATCATGAACCGGTATCTGTTGTCTTTACACTTAAAAGGTGTTTGTTGTCTTATTAACGCTTCTTTTCTTATCAGTACATTGCCATGAAATGTGGAACAACTGACCAGCTTCCAAGTACAGTTGTATATATATTGTATTCTCAATGCACTTACACTGCACTGATGATACGGACGAATGACTTGGCAATTTGTGGTACAGTTAAGTTGGTATCACCTTTATATGACGTCATTGCCAATGCGACATGCATTAGATTCTTGAGATTTTTCTGGAGAAAACATAAACAGTACACACGAATTTCACCAAAATTTTTGTCTCGATAAATGGAGGACCTTGCATAAATTTCCATGAATTTAGATTTTATATGATGTAGAGAGTTTGTATTATTTTATCATGTCTCTGGTGAGAGTCATACATCTCAGATGAAACCGCCGAAACGAATGTAAAATTCTGTTTATCACATAACTTTAAAAATTTTGCAAATATTCGCGAAAATACTGATATCAATGATAAATTTTAATCAATGCCTTTCTCATTGGTGACGTTACAATGAATATGACTGAATTAAGTCATAATTACGGGAACAATGGGTATCTTCAGCCAATCAAAACTGTTTAAGGTTTTATAACGCGTGTGTCAAGGAAAACATAGCAAAAGTTATGTAATTTGTGTTATTACATTCATAACAGGCTACATATGTGAAAAAATAACAACAAGTCAGCTGATTAAGTAAACAAAACGTTATGTATTTTATTGAAAACGGCACTCTACAGTTAACAGATAATTGATTTTCCCCATCGACAAGCGAGACTGATACATTTGGTTTAAGTATTGAGTTGTGGTATTGGATTTCATTTTAGCACAGAGCTGATGCATCCCCGTCCTCCTCCTCCTTCTCCTCGTTGTCGTCGTCGTCGTCGATGACTTTCAAAACAAAACACAATCATATTAGAATGCTTGAATGAATTATCTTTAGTGAAATGTTAGAAAGTTTTAATAGATAGATAAATAACAGACGATTGACTGATTAAATGCGACACAAAACCGTATTCTGAAACAGACTATAGGAAGACGACAGCTGTGAACCAATCGGAAGTTCAAAGGAAATTCAGCCCGAGGGAGGTGGCCATTTTGAATACACAACAAGTGTGCCTGACTGACTTCCTGTGTTTCTGATGCGGACGACTCAGGGAAAGAAAAAAATAAGCTAGGCAAAATGCCGGAACAAATCACCGTCTCGGAGTTTCTTAGCGAAACATGGGACGATTACAAATCCCCAACGACGTCTGCGTTCACGAAGAGGATGTCACACTGTCGAAATACAGTGTCAACTCTCGAAGAGGTTAGTTAAATACACATTTCATCATGTTTTGTCTACAAAAATATACTGTAATATGGTGTCATTTCTTTACCATTTGTATTTCTATTACACCCAATGATTGTCGTGAGTATGCATTTGTCAGCTCGATGTAAAAACGATGATTTACGAAAGAATGACACAATAATTTTCGCATTTTGACGAGAGGGGCGGGGAGTGGGTGTGTGTATTCCAACATCTTAATCCGAGACTACGAAGTTATCAGTATTGCAATAGAATTAAAGCTTTTGGGTTTGGAAGCGGATGCAAAAAAGGCAAATAACGTTTGAACACGTATATACGGACTCTTTAATTTTTATTGCAATTTTAAACTATTTCACTTTTGCAATGATACTTGAAACATACAACATTATCCAAAGATTTTGCTCAGTGTCAGATATGAAGAGAAGAGTGAATGACAGATGGGATATTAGTAACTTCATGTTACATAGTGGCCCTCAATCTGTTCTTGTCAAGTTCCAAATCTCGCCAGTGCCTTTGAAATTGTTTTTAATTTGCCACAATTTTAAGTATGTACTTTATTGAAAAAGCTGTGTGCTGATCTTTGTGTAATCTCACTGACAAGACATGTCTATTGGTGATCCTTATCAAGAATTGATACATGTAGATGAGAATAGTAGCAGCCATCTTAGTGATAAATAAATTTTACTTATTAAGAATGAGGTGAGGTTATTGTAATGCATACTTTGAAGTATGCTAAAGCTTACAATGGTGGATAATATTTGAAAAAAAAGACAGTGATGTAAAATAATGCAGATATTAACCAGGTGATCTGGAGTGCTTGGTCTTGAGCTGGCAAAATACTGAGATGAATTATACTGAAAAAGACAGTAGTGTCACAAAATATTGCAAATTTTCAGTAGCTGATCTGGAGTGCATGGTCTTGAGTTATCAAAAAACTGATACATTGTAGTTTGATTTTTTTTCTTTTTCTGAATAAGATAAAATTGATTGTTCAAAACAACAGGATTTGACATTTAGCTTAGGGAACAAGATTTAAGATGTGGCAGGGCTCTCACATCCCATTTTGGGTCTGGGGCCCGGGACCCTTAGAATTTGGAAAAATAGCGACGTTTTCCTTAGAATTGGGAAAACTTGGGGTCTAAATTGAGAAAAAAAGATACTATTTTGCATTGGGAATGGGGCCGAATATCAGTCCCAAATCTGGCAAATTGAGAGCCCTGTGTGGAATTCTGTGAACAAATTTAAAGTAACATGTTTCCTGGTTGTCAGTCCACAACAATAAAAGGAAGGAAGATAAAACTGGTCTGGAAGGAAACTACTATACCATACTTGACCTTTTTCAGAGGGCCAAGTTATCTCTGACTTAAAGTGAAGAGGGTTTGATTATTTCTGGACAGTATTGCAGCATTTATCAAATATGTATTATGATAATATTATTATCTATTTGAAGTGAACCAAAGCAATTTTTATTTTTCCAACAGAGATATCTATAAAAACATTGAATTGAGTCCTCAAACTAATTTATGTCAATAAATTAACTACTGTACTATGTAAGTGTTTTGAGGGATAGGCATATGATCTATACTAAACAAAGCATTGCTGGCATTCGATTGTAATTCTAAACAGCATTGGATATATAGATATAGACTTATTGCATGACATCAGCTTTAATATTGTTGATATAGGATGGTTAATAAAAACAATAAAAAACCTGATCTAAATAATTTATGAGAAAACCTATGCATAACTTTTTTGTAGAATATTCCGTAAACAAATTCCAATAGTAACTTTGTATATTTTTTTCCAAACATAAATAGATTGATTTGATCTTAACTATGCATTTTTTCTAAATGATCAGTTGGTCTTACTGGTTGTCAATTTGAGAGTCTTATCTGAGCTGTCTCTTTCAACCAGTTTTTCTTGAAAAAGATGCACAACAGCCGTTCTATCTTTACATGACAGGTGACGAGTTTCTATAGAATTGCTCTTAACTGTAAGGAGAGTCCAATTATCATGCCCACAGCTGTAGCATCAGCTTACATTGTACAACTGTTGTATATGTATTCAAACATCTGTTTGAAAGATTTCGCAAGAGAGAAAACAAGATCATTACAAAAGTGAAAGGAATTTAGATAGTGTTTGATTGTTTTGAAAGTTTCAAATAGACTGCATTAATTTTCATTTCCTGGTTGACTGGTACAATTCAACCCATAGTACAATGCTGTGTTGATTGATGTATCCAGATTTGTCAATTAGAGATATGTATAGAATAGTACATTTGGTATAGCTAGTTACAATTTAAATGTACACAAATAATGAAATGAAAATTGTACACAGCCTGGTACAAATTCATTTACACTGTCTTGTTCTTTATGAGAAAGGTGTGAAAAAAGAATTAACAAAGAAATTACAAGTTCAAATGTACACAAATGTTGAAATGTTGATTGTACACAACCTGGTGCAATTTTGTTTATGAGAAAGGAGTGAAAAAAAGAAGAAAGAAATTCATGCGTATTGTATTTTTCATTGACCGAGATTATGCTAATTATTTACTGAGGAACCGCTGCTAGTGCTGTGTAAGGTGTTTTAGGGATTGTAAATATTTGTGTAGTCAATTTGTAATGATGCATTAAAGTATGGCCTTGATGCATATAGTAATCCTACATGATAATCTGACTCACAAACATGTTTGTAAATCATTTCCTGGACTTGTACAATTATCACAGGGGGTTTACTGACCAAGTTGCCAACATCCTGGCTTTCTTGCTTTTCACTTCCTGTTGTATAGTGTTTACTCATGTATGCAGGATCCAAGTGGAGACAACTGTTGGCCACAAGTTACACCCGGATGATTTGTGGGAAAGGGGGAAGGCCATTGTACTCAACATCATGATAGCTCCTGGTTAGTAGTGATGAGGGGTAGAAGTGTGGATAATTGCATTGCCTATTAGTCCCCTTCCGCTGGGAACCCAGGAGGGAGGGGGTGTTTGGGGTGGGTGGTGGTGGTGGTGGGGGGGTGTTGTTGGGGGGGGGGGGGGCTATAGTTTTGCATCTGTTTGTCCTTTTGCTATTTTGTCCTGGCTCATTAGTAAACTTCTAGTCACTAGAACTTAATACTTAAGGTATTGGTTTGTCTTGGTGTGGTAATTGAGTTACGGTTAACAATCGCCTTGTTGAGGTGGTGTGTGTCTGTTATCAAAAGTTGGTCACTCAGACCTACATTTCACCTTTGACCTTCATAAAAGAAACGTTTGGGCTGTACTTCCTACACTACTTGTCACTTGAATTTCAAACTTGGGGAAGGCAGTGTGTGTCGTGTATCAAAAGTAGGAGGGTATGGATTCACCTTGGTGAGACAGGAGACTGTATACATAATTAAAAATACCTGAATTTTCTTGTTGAAGTTATTTTGTGATATTTGAATTATTTCCTTATTCATGAGTGTATGTATAATCTCCAATATACATGATAACAACTTTATAAAGTTAATGTCACTGATTCTCTGTACTTGTAATTTAGATATTTTTGCCTTTGCAGTAATTTATACATGTGAGGACTGATTTCACAAATCCAACTTGATGCAGAGTGAAATGTCACCTGTCTGATTGAGACACTAACTGTCGTAAGTTAAGTCCAGTAGAATGTAACTAAGCTCCAACTTGATGCAGAGTGAAATGTCACTTGTCTGATTGAGACACTAACTGTCGTAAGTTAAGTCCAGTAGAATGTAACTAAGCTCCAACTTGATGCAGAGTGAAATGTCACCTGTCTGATTGAGACACTAACTGTCGTAAGTTAAGTCCAGTAGAATGTAACTAAGCTCCAACTTGATGCAGAGTGAAATGTCACTTGTCTGATTGAGACACTAACTGTCGTAAGTTAAGTCCAGTAGAATGTAACTAAGCTCCAACTTGATGCAGAGTGAAATGTCACTTGTCTGATTGAGAAACTAACTGTCGTAAGTTAAGTCCAGTAGAACTAAACTCCAACTTGGTCAGAGTGAAATGTCAGTCGTAAATTAAGTCCAGTAGTCTGATGAGACACTAACTGTCGTAAGTTAAGACCAGTAGAATGTAACTAAGCTTGATGCAGAGTGAAATGTCACCTGTCTTGATGCAGAGTGAAATGTCACTTGTCTGATTGAGACACTAACTGTCGTATGTTAAGTCCAGTAGAATGTATCTAAACTCCAACTTGATGCAGAGTGAAATGTCACTTGTCTGATTGAGACACAAACTGTCCGAAGTTAAGTCCAGTAGAATGTAACTGAACCCTACTGCTTCTGCATGTCTATGTGCTGTTGTGTATGTTTAAAAGTCTGAGCAAGTTATTTCAGAAATCCCTCAATAGATTTAATTGCATATTTTACTGTAAGAGCTGAAGAATTGGAATTCTATACTTGATAAGGTTTTATTGGACAATACAAATACTTGCAAATGTCCTTGACCTTTTCATACTTAAAAGAGTATTTTGTAATTGAAGATAAATGCTTATTATCTATTTGTGTTCCTGTAAAAACTAGCTATTAGACATAGTGCACTTGCAATTGGTTATGACTTGAGGTAAAAAACATCAGGCAGCCTTCAGACAGTCTGAATAATGGAAGTGACTGCTTAATTTAGAGGACTGTTCATTTTAGGGGACTGCTCAAAACGGGTTTCACTGTATTTTATTTACTGAAATGTTCAAACTTTTGCATGTTTACAAAAGTTGAAGATTTTAAATGTTATCTCAACCTTCCCTTTCAGTCCTTGTCTGATTATGATACTGGATTCTGAATCTCCAAAATGTTTATACCTATTGATTTCCCAGCAGATCAATACCTAGTCACTTTAGTACATACCAATAGACCTATGTGGGTTGAGGAAGCCTGTTAAGGATGGATAGTATATATCAAACACCTACAGCTTGTTTCATATGTTGGTCATCAAACTACATATAGTTTTATATTAATCTCTTCTCATTGTTAATCAAGGATGGTACTATTTAAGTACTTGTGT